TCAAAAAGCATACAAGAAATGACCGTACGACCGGTCGCCACTCAGAGATGGAGATGGTGTGAACTGAAACTCAATTACGGTGCCGGGATTTGTTGCCTTCAACGTCTGGAGGAAACTGGGTAGCTCATTGTACGACTCAGCAAATTTTCCATACTCATTTTCAATGTTTTTTTGACGAGCATACCACGCCTTCCTGTACGTCACATCTAAGTCGTACTCCTTGTTTACATCGGCTTGGATGTGTTTGACTTTGTAATGTGGATCGTCACGGATCTTAACCAATGGATCAGAATCGTTCAACAATTTGTTGAAGGGTTGTCGTATGCTGCCAGTGACTGCACTTGCAAGGCTCACTTTTCACAAGATAAGGGTAATGTTTGCGGACAGGCGAACAGCGGGTCAGAGGATGCAGGAAAAAGGGTTGCATTGGCCTAACAAAATTATTAAGCAGTTGACAAAACTAGTGAAACTCGCGTACAATGCCACCATTGAAAGATATAATGACTTAATGGGATTATACGGGGTCGCTCTTGATAGCCGAAATGCCATGCAACGTCCACTACGATTTTTTAGAGTTTGTTTGGCAGATCTTTCCTGCGACTGTGGCCACTGGAACAGCAACAGTTTACCTTCTGCACATATCATTGCTGCATGTCAATTTCAAAGAGTTACGTATGACTCATTCGTGCCAAATGTTTTCTCATTACAGAACTACATAATGAGTTATGTAGTTAATTTTTATCCACCAAACTCTAAAATTGAATGGAGGAGTGAGCACATTATACTTCCAATAGAAATGGACCAGGGAAACACAAGATCCACGGGACGATGTAGGTATTGTCGGCTCGAACTCATGCTTCACACCTATGCCTTAAGTTAATTTTCCATTCGTAGGGTCATTAACTAACTACACTCCTTGTACACATAACTTCAATGGAAATGCATATGGTTTCTATGTTAACATTTTTTTTAGACGAAACTTTATTTTTATAAGTTTCACATTTTTCTAATGCCCACGAGATACGCGGCCAAATTTGCTCGTTCTTCGACGAATTTCACAAAATAAAAAAAATATATATAAGGCCAAAGTGGACAATTAATTTCAAAACTGACTCATGTTGCGTGTTATTTTATTCAACGCGGAATATTAATTGCACATCTTTACTCATCTTCACTGTGTTCATTGATATCATAGCTGAAATGCGAGAGCTTTCAAAAAATAAAAGCTGAAATGGGAGAATTTCAATAACACCTATGCTTTAGGCGTTATTGGAATATTTGACGGAGAAATTCTAATAACGCCTAAGGCATAGGCGTTTTTGGAATATTGTCTGACAAATTCATATAACGCCTTTGCCATAGGATTTATTGGAATTGTATATAAATACAACTCAGTCCATTATATAGAAGCACAACTACCCCCATTTTGCTCCTAACTTCTTATCGATTTTCAAACTCCTTACCAATTCACACATTTCTCTTCCATCATCATGGATATGTTTGTAGAATTTTCGAAAGTTTCATGCGTCAACCAACAACGTTATAATATAAAACCGTTATTTCGCAAATACAATAAACGGAAGGAAATTATTGTATGCAATTATAGAGCATACATCACAAGATCAATATATATGTTTTGCACCTCTTTCGTGGGTAAAATATATGAAAATGCTAGGACTAAATGTGTCCTATCCAATTGCATTTCATAATTTTCAAGATGCAGAGCGTTATACCTATGACATCCTACAAAATGGCCTACGAACACTTATCCTTCCATCACGTAAGTCATTTCATATTTAAAATTTATAATGTCTACTTATAGCTATTTTTTCCTTTGCTTTCTTGTTGCTTGCAATGATAAAAGAAAAAAAAAATAAATAAAAAATAAAAAACATTTTCCGGATATTACGAGATCTACTATTTTACGGTTTTTTATTACAATTAGATCGCGTGTGACCATGGTAAATTTATCAATTTTACTTCGATATATTTCGTTCTTTTATATTTTAATCAAATTAGTTTTTGACATGCGCCCTAATTTTGTTTTTTATAAAATTCCAAAATGCATGTATCGACATCTAATGCAGCACTTCACAATGACTGCGATCTTGAAACATGGTTCGCCGTCGCAATCGATGTGTCAGTTGAAAACATGCACTTTACTACAGTAATTTCTGAATTCATTTAGTGCGAATTCGTTAAGAACGGGAGATAGGGTGTTATTTAGACATATGAGTTTCTTCACTTTTGGAACCTTTTGCTATACCTTCGACGGCATGTTGAAGAGGTACCACCACATTCCTTCTCGACCATATCAACCAAGTAACTATACACTTTAATGCATCGCCAAAATTTATATTACTTATTACAACAACCATTAATTACTCGTTTTTTAAACATTAGATCGAATACGTGTAAAGGCAAAATCTGCTATGTCCCCATCATATTCAATTGATGTAGAACGATGTTGTTCTTTGTATACTGATTTCTCTCAACCTGAAGCGGTAAGAAATAATATACATTCATAATATTCTAATGAGTAAATACCCAAAATGGTCCCTCAACTATAGCTAAATTCACAAATTGGTCCCCGACTTTCAATTTTAACCAATTAAGTCCTTAACTTTGCAATTTTAACACGATTTGGTCATCCGTCTATTTGACCGTTTGTTGACCGTGATATCTGAGGATATATATGTAATTTCATTGCCGCCCGCCCTCATCCGCTGCCGTGACACAGTCTATCGCCCATGTAACGCCCCACTTTCTTAACTCTTCGCTTAGGTACGAACTCAACTACATTGAATCCAAAGGGGGGATGAAGAAAGAAGACAGGATTTGACAGATTGCTTTCGGCAGTGGATTCAAATGTAACAATGCGGTCTGAAAATGCAACCGGAACCTTAAAAAAACCTACAATGGACCATGAAATTACATATATATTCTAAAAAATCACAGTTAACAAACGGTCAAATAGACTGAGGACCAAATCGTGTTAAAATTGCAAAGTTAAGGACTTAATTGGTTAAAATTAAAAGTCGATGACCAATTTGTGAATTTAGTTATAGTCGAGGGACCATTTTGGGTTTTTACTCTATTCTAATTCAACTTGTATCCTCTTACAATTATTTACTCATTCATTTTTTTTTTCTTACGTCTCTATAGAAAGTTAGATTGTCTTCATTCCTTAAAGATTCTGACGAGTTCGTTGATGATACGCTGAAAATAGTATTCGATCTCGAAAGGTAGAGCTCTACTTTGGCACAACTTTAACTTTTTCACAGAACGGTGGGAGGAAATAATAATGCATTTTAATATTAATACAACACAGGACGATGTGGTTTTATTTATTTTGGAGGACAACGTTGTACTAATCATGGTTATTCGTCAATGTCATGTTGAAAAAATGTATCCATGGTCGGTTAAATATTTCATTCATGACAGTGTGTATGATGAACTTAACACTTTAAATATATGATAATAATAATAATAATAATAATAATAATAATAATAATAATAATTATTATTATTATTATTATTATTATTATTATTATTATTATTATTATTGTTGTTGTTGTTGTTTAAAAAAATTTAAAAATAAAAAATATAATTAAGACAATGATATTAACTACTTGGGAGATTTATTGACAAAAAGAGTATTCAAATCACACAATAAATTGAGGTGGGAAACTATCTCGCAATGTCCTTGTTTGACAATCAGCAGTTACCTCTTCAATATTAGTATATATTTAATATTTTATGTCCTAATTTTTATTTTCTCTCCCTTATGTCCCGTATTTAGTTTCAACCATACCTATACAATTATTTTATTGACAATTATAATCAATCTTGAATATAATTTCTTGCATTTTTTAACTTATAATTGCACATTTAAATACACAAATTTAACATTCAATTACCTATGCATAAACAATTCCAATATAATCTTGTCTTGATATACTTTAAAGTACTTATTTTAAAAAATAAAAAGAAAAACATTCGGCATTATCTCAATCGCGCAATGCGCGTAAAAAACTAGTATACTAATAAGAGCCCAAGAGAGTTAGGCCTATAATGCGTAGAAAAAATGACGGTCACATTTATTAATCATATGAATGGCTCAGATTGCTCAAAAATTGATCAGATTATAATTTTTCAATATGATTAATAGGCAGATAGGCGGATTATAATCCTGAAACGTAATTGAAATATTAAGTTTGTTCTAAGTAATCAAAAGAAGATTAATTAAACGAAGAAAAAAAAAACTTAACCTAAATTTTCTAATGCAAGAAAATCAAATGATTTTTAAAGTTCTTGATTTATAATCTTTGATGCTCAACTTTGATTGTTATGTATTTAGTCGAACTAATTATTTGACCAAAGTTTATGTTAAATATTATATATATATATATATATATATATATATATATATATATATATATATATATATATATATATATATATATATATTTAATACATTTAACATATTCGTAGTATATGTTTAACAATTATGCCAACTCTAATTGAGATAGGGTTCGAACCTAAGACCTTTCTTATATAAATTAATGTGTAAATTAAGAATAATAAATAGTTAACGGAATATTTCGTTACTAAAGTTTATACTAACATAATTTATGATTATTTATGAGAAGAAAATAATATAATAGAGGGTAAACCGGTAAATAAGGAAAATTATTTAAAAAAAATACTCAAATCAAAATAATATGAACCATTCATTTTAAAAAATTATGACACCAACATTTTTTGTTTTGTTCCAGTTAAGGGCTTAACATTATTGGCAGATTTGTAGATTGTAGATATAGATTGTAATTTTAAACGATTTTTGTTAATGAATAATTAAAAATGATCATATGATAATAATACTATGATCAAAGTGAATATTCTTTAAAAAAAAAAAAAAAAAAAAAAAAAAAAAACTAAAAGTGATTTGTGACCTATAAATATATGACAAAAAATAGAATTAACACAAATAAAAAAGAAAAATGAAAAAAATGCAGGATCTTACTAGCTACTAAGTACTAACTACTAAGTCACCGAGCTAGCCGTGAAGTGCGAAGCAGAGAAGAAGAATGGAGGCGCTACACCCATTCAAGCACCTCATCCACTTTGCTTCTTTGAGGTCTACCCGAGCAATTCAATTTCGAAACCCTTCTTCTTGTTTCATTGTTCGCTGTTGCTCGTCGTCTTCTTCTTCTGCCGCCGCCTTCGTCACTGACAGAGCCGCCGGCCGTAACCGGCGGTCCTCATCTACCACCTCCACCTCCGATAGAGAAGCCATTCGCGCCATCCGCATCAAGAAGGTAAATGAAGCTCCGCAAAATTACTCGTTTTACGCAGTGTTTGGGTCTAATACTGGACCTTTTAATTTATAGATGGAAATTCAATATTTCTTATGCTATATCAAGAATTTCATTGGTAAGATGAAGTAGGAACTGGGAACCGAAGTGAAGATAACTTTGATTGGCTTAAACGCCGGTCTTTATGAAGTATATATGTGGTCGTGACTGTCTATGAATATGAATTTTGAGGAAAGGTTTTACGATATATTCTCACTGCACTTAGCAGTTGCATATGCCATTTGGATGTATTTGGTTGCGTGCAGTGTAAACATTTGGCTATCCTTTTAATGAGAAAATATCATTTCATAAGCTACATATATGTGTTTTCTCAAGCTGAATATTTCTGCTCATATGCAGGTGGAAGAATTAAGAATCAAGGGCTTGGAACCCTACGCATACAAGTGGGATAGGACTCATACGGCTAATCAGTTACAAGAGATTTATAAAGATCTAGGAAATGGTGAAGAGTCAAACAATGAGAATGATTATGTCTCAATATCAGGAAGAATTGTGGCTCGCAGAGCTTTTGGAAAGCTTGCCTTTTTTACCTTGAGAGATGACTCTGGGACAATTCAGGTTTGTCATCCTAGCTGTTACTGTTACTGACTATGAAATGAAAAGTTGGGCACCTGGTAACTACAATTGCTTATCTCATCCTTTTCAACTGGCATTTTTTGAACTCATCATGCATCAGGTTTTTTTTTTTTTTTTTTTTTTTTTTTTTTTTTTTTTTTTTTTTTTTTTTTTTTTTGGTTTATTTAGATTATTTGATATTTGATTGATATTCTTATGTTACATCAATATTAATAAAATGAATTACAGTTTCTTCACTGTATATCTGCGTGGAAATCATGTCCCTTGTGCTGAAGTGAATTATTATTGGTTTTAGCTCTACTGTGAGAAGGAAAGGCTCTCCAGTGATCAATTTGACCATTTGAAGACACTTGTTGATATAGGAGATATCTTGGGTGCTCGTGGTTCAATCAAACGCACTGAGAAAGGTAACTTGGCATTGCTGTTCTCCTACTCTTTCTTTTGCATGTTTAACCTTATTGCTGTTGCCACTGTAAAAATATATTTTCACATGAACCTGTAACTTGAAAACAGCTTGCTAGGTATATGTCATTCTATTCTCTAATCTTTCACTATCGATCTGATCTTGTACTGACTAGTTTGAACTGGCATCATGGAACTCTGGAGATTTAAAAGCAATTAATTTATTTATTTCCTTTTCTAGGGGAGCTATCAGTTTGTGTGAATTCATTTTCAATTCTTACAAAGTCCCTACTTCCATTGCCGGACAAATATCATGGCCTAACAGATGTAGATAAGCGCTACCGGCAGCGGTGGGAACTTCTTCTTTTTATCTTTTAATATCTAATAGATAGATATATGTCCATAGTGTGTTATACACTGCTTATTGATTTGTGTTGTGAGGTGACACCTAGGTGATTGGGGAATTCAACATAACTTTTCTACTTATTGTGCACTTTGGCATAATTAATATATTTAGTGCAATAAAATATAATCGTAGATATACATATACTGATTATATAATTTTATTCTTGTTAACTGTTTTAATTAGAAAGTAAGCATAAGAGATGGCATTACACTGAATGCCAAGCAGTAGCACATAAAAAAACTGCATATTTCCTGTCTCTTAAAAATCATTTCCCTTGATTCTCTTGTCTTTGGAACTTGTTACTCTTTGATTACAATCTTTGCCACTTAATTTTTAGGTATATAGATATGATTGCAAACCCTGAGGTAGCAGATATATTTCGGAAGAGGGCAAAGGTAGGCTATTAAACGACTTATTTTTGTTGCAATTTCTTCTTTTTAAATATTTGCTTCTATAATTTATAATCAATATTTTTTGTTACTAGGCTCATTGTAATATCAAATTTTGCCACAATGACTTGTAACTGTCAATGGATCTGTTCTTTATTATGATCACCATAATAGTGTTGGGTACCCCATTTTGTTTATAATCCTCCGTGGAACTTTTCTCTATTGTTTAAACTTTAAAGATTAGAGCAATGATTACCATGTTGGGTCAAGGCATTTTTTATTTTTTATTTTTTTTAATTTTCATAGGACCTCCAGTGTGAAAGAAACAATATTTCTTATTTTTTAAAAACAGATTTCACACAGAGCTGATGCATCACTTCATTCTCTTTTCAGCACCACCAAAGTGATGCATGCTTGATGTACATCTGGTGCTCTGCAGCTGTACATATTTGGCCAGTAACAACTAAATATGGAATTATGCTATATTTGAATTCCATTAGTGCATCTTAAAGGATCTTTACTTGTCTTAATGATGCATGAATTCTAAAACGACTGTGCTTTTTTATTGCTGTGAGTATTGTCTTTCGGTTTTCTAGATTAAAAAGATATCACTCTATTCATATTTCCCCTTGTTTGTTATTTTACTTTGCATTTACTATTTTTTTCCTGGAGTAAATAATTTAAAAGCCTTTTGCTGATTTATTGATCATCTTTTAGGTTTCTGGCATGGCTAATAGTTGAGTGTTGTTGAAGTGATGCTGCTTCTAGAACTTGTTAACCTTCATCTTGTGCTGCATATTCTCTTAGTTGATAAAGCATATCTTTATAAATTTACTTTTCAGTGGAATAGAAAGCTCATCTTTGCCTTTTTCAGTAGATTGTTTCTGAAATTCGGAGAACAGTTGAATCTTTTGGCTTTATTGAAGTTGAAACACCAGTTCTTCAGGTTTGTGAATTTTCTTCTGACTTTACTGTGTGGTATGCTCCAATTTCCCTTTTTGATATGATATTTTAATGTTGATATCTAATTTCCATAATTTACACATCTTTTTGCCTAGATTATTCTGTTTGCCATTTTTTTAAAAATCATTATCCTTTCAATACCTGTTAATCTGAGTTGTAGAGTGTTTTTGTGTTTGATGGCTTCGTATACTAGGGAGCAGCTGGTGGAGCTGAGGCTAGGCCATTTATTACTTACCATAATTCTCTTGGTAGGGATCTTTATTTGAGAATAGCAACTGAGCTCCATTTGAAGAGAATGCTGGTTAGTCTTTTTCTGAGTCACCATGTCTTCTTTAAAAAGATGTTGCTGATGTTGTACCAATTATGAATCAGCCAATTTGTTTACATGGGAAGGCAGTTTGCTGCCAATTAGTTAGCTCCTCAAAATGGTAATCAACATGATGCTAATTGCTTCTCATTTTCAATTTATATATTTTTAATCTAGCAACACCTTGAAAATATAACATTTTAGCCTTATGTGAGGAAATGAATTTATATTCATGATATGATGTTTTTGTAGTCTAATAATGTTCTTTTTTGGGGGTACCATGACCCCTTGGTATCTGGTAGCTACATTGGACTCCGGCTAGTGCCAAGTCTAAGTACTACCGCACTTCATTTGGGGAGAAGTTCTCCATGTTGCTTCATGTTTTAACTTGAGACCTTGCATAAGAGGAACTTAGCCCCTTGCATTTGTACCACAGGTGGTTGTTGGTCACATGCATGCATGCATATGATATACCTATGAGACTCTATTCTCCTAATGACAGGTTGGCGGATTTGAAAAAGTTTATGAGATGGGCCGGATATTTAGGAATGAAGGCATATCAACGCGTCATAATCCTGAATTTACCACCATAGAGGTAATTTTTCCAATTAAGTTGGTTTGATGTTTTGTACAATAGATGGATGAGAATATACTAAGAATAATTTTTCAGTTAACTCTCAGTCACCATGGCAATGATGGCCAACTTTTCATTTTGAGTAGCTGTGATCGGTTTTATTAGCAATACATAAATTTATGACCAACTTTATTATTGAAATCATTCTTTAGATGTACGAAGCATATTCAGATTATGAAAGCATGATGAATATGGCAGAAGAGATTATTACAAGATGTGCTCTTGCAGTTCATGGGAAACTTACTGTGGATTATCAGGTTTGCTTCTTGTTTCTAATGCAATTTGTCTGGAACAAAATATTTAATGTAGACCCATGAAGATTGGTTTGGACAATGGACACGAGTGATAGCATGTTGGTAATAGGTGGCAGGAGAGGAAGAGGAGTAGATAGTTTGAAACTTTGATAGAAATGATGAAATATGATAATGTATTAGGGCTCACAACCGGTTCAGGCTTATTGGAGCTCAATGGACACAGTGTTATAGATTGAAAGGAAGAAGCTTTATGTTGTATATTTCACTCTGTACATGGATTATACTCATATATATATATATACATAGACCTAAAGAAATACCACCATACATTTGAAGGGAGGTTGTTAAGGATAGCTCTAAGAGCTTCTGACCCTCTGATCCCTCTAACAGATGATGACTCCTAATACAGAACTTAGAATGCATGTGGGCGATCAAAACTATGTTGAGATTAAGGTCTAATTGAGTTGACTTAGAATATTCAAGGATTTGTCCTTGGATTTCTTCATCTCAAAGTTTAGTTTGCTAGATCATTTATGGTTGACTTTTTCTGTTTTCTTTCCCGTTTTTGTAATTTTGTGCCCATTAAACCATCCAACATGAAAAAGCTGGCCGTGTAGGTTTAATTTGCTATTTTTCTTGCAATCCTTGGTTTGATCACAAAGGTGAATCTCTAAACACATCATTTCTGAATACTGGATTTTCTGCTTTCCTCACCAATACAATTCTTGGAGAGTGTGCTTGCTTTAGATGATCTTTCTGCTTATTGATCCTCAATCTTCAGTTTGCAGTCTTTGGTGAATATGATCTTTCTGTTTACCTACCAAAAGTTCTGAATGGTGTGTCATATTTGGTTTAGCTATTTGAGCTTGTAATTTTCATAACCTAACTTCTTAAGTTGAACAGGTATTCTTCTCTTGTTTGCATAAAATGCTGCTCTATATTTCATCCATAGTTCGCAATGTCATAGATGTTTTCTCTAGGAGGAGAAGAAAACATAGGAAAGTGGTTTGGTCTTTGCTCCAAAGATCTTTAGCAATAGGATTATTTTCTATTCGAGGTGTCATTCAAAGCTCTGAGAATATGAGTTGTATTCTAATGTTTTTTTGGTCTTGGGTTGAGTGTTTGCACCCTTTTATATTTTAAACTTTTTAGAGTTATAGAATGGTCAATGAGAACAGTATACTTCCTTTCAGGGTGTCGAGATTTGCCTAGAAAGACCTTGGAGGAGAGAGACAATGCATAATCTCGTGAAAGAAGCTACAGGAATTGATTTCAACCAGTTTGGTGATGATCTTACAGCTGCTAAAGAACTTGTTCTTAAAACAATTGATATTTGTCATGACAATCAACAGAAAAGCTATATTGAAGCATCCCGATCTGTTGGCCATTTGCTTAATGAGGTTAATCTGAGTGAGCTTGAAAATCCTAGTTTTATCAATTTGCAAGTGTACAATGGGCGTCTTCTATAACCCAAAAAAAAAAAAAAAAAAAAAAAAAAACCATTACCACTATATTTTGTGTTGAACTTTGAGGTCTAGGTGGAATCTATGAATCTATGATGCTGAGAAGTGTGCAAATTTTCTCAGCATGCTCCTTTTCATCACATATTCCTTGCAATAGTGTTCACTTTGATACCCCTTGCTTCAGGTCTTTGAGATGGTAGTGGAACCAAAGCTTCTTCAGCCCACATTTGTTTTGGACTACCCAATTGAAGTATCTCCACTTGCCAAACCCCACAGAAGGTAGGAGTATCTATCTTGGAAGAGCTCTTCAGAATGACATGCCACATGTTGAGCATATTTTACATTTTATTTTGGCCAACTAAAATGTTTCCAGAAGATATAATTGACTAATTGTGGGATAATGTAGTCTGGGTTATAGCATAAACAATCCCCACACAACTTTTGTTCATTTTCTGATATTTTTGGGTTTTTCACTTTTTTGTGGATTATACTTGATTAAATTCAAAATGATGGTTTAAAAAAAAAAATAAAATTCAAAATGATGGGGATTCACTTTTATAGTACAGAAGATACTTATCTACTTTTGATTGTTTTTTTCCTTCAAAACTAGGTCATATATCAATTTTTAGTCTGGTGGACTAAATGTATCAGATTTTTCTTTGTGGGCCCAGTTACTGATATGCCTAAGTATACACGATCTATTCGGCTTGACCAGATTAAAAGTTTAATGTGGAGATGATGCCCCTGTTGAGTTTGCTTTTTATATATATATAATTAAATTATGTTGATGCATCAATGGAGTAGCTACCTGCAACAAAAGCCTGAATAAACATTTTCAAGTACTTGCTGATTTACAAAACAAAATGGGGAGAAATGATTTTTTCACAAAAATGAATTGGTCTGTTCTAGTATGGCACACATAAGATGATATTTTTACATATCTTTCTTCCAATGGCTCACAAGGAAGAGAAAAGTTCTTGGTTTCTTATTTTTTGACATTTTCTCAGATATTCAGGGTTAACAGAGAGATTTGAACTTTTCATTTGTGGTCGTGAGCTGGCAAACGCCTTCTCTGAATTAACTGATCCTCTCGACCAGGTATTATTGATTTTCCTTTTTTGATTTTGGCTACTTTCAACAGACAATTTAGTCCATCTTATTGAGATAACTTAATTAGGCTAAGATGTTTTTTATGAGATACAAATCAATGCAATTTAGATTGATGATCCTTGAAGCATTGCATGACTGAGTTTTCTGGTGGAAGGATTCAGTTTCTGATGATTTCTCCTTGAATTCATTTGAAGGGAATAGTGTTCTGTAGTCTTTATGCCATAGATTGTGAAAAATATGAGGATCAGGAACTGGTACACTGGAGTTTTGAATCTAGTGTGGGTTATGCTTTCAGATCACCTTATGCATATTGTCATTTCATATTTTATCCTTACAGCAGATGTGCCGCTTTTGTATATTCTTTCATGATAAATGTTTTTGTAGCTCTGCAGTTTGTATAAAATGTGTAATACTGCCAAAAAAATCTTACAAATTCATTGTTAACTTGAATAGCAACTGACCCTCTGGCTTAACAGGCCAAGATAAGGCCTTCACACATTCACATTATAAGGTATTAAAGAGTTCAAATCCCGCAACCTCTGATATCAACTGATTCTACTCTTCTTCCAACTATTTTTTGCTCTTAGAATTGATGAAATTGCATTGTTGTATGAAGTAATTAGTTTTTAGTTCACAGTAATGCACATGGGTGCAATAAAAACTAGATAGTTATGGCATTGACAACAATTATATTCTCTTTGATGGAGCCCTACAAAGTGGTTGAAGTGCTGCACTTTATTTATTTATTTTTTTTGGTTGACGAGGGAAACCTATAGCTACTACCCGAGGGTGTGCACTAGGTAAACCCCGCCTTGTGACCCTAGCTAACAAAGGACCACAAGGAGGTAAACCAGCCTAGGTTGCCCATAGCTGATATGCTCAAACCAAGAGGACTGAGATTCAAACTCGTGATCTTGTCGTTACAAGTTTGTATCCTTAGCCATCTTGGCTGGGGTTACCCCCAACGCTTCACTTTTGTTACTGGCATATATATGCGGATTTACTATGCTGTGAAATTTGAATGTTGCACTGAAATTGTTGTAGAGAGGACGATTGGAAGAGCAAGTGAGGCAGCATAATGAGAAAAGAGAGGCTGCAGTTTCAGAAGCAGCTGTTGAGGGAAAGGATGACAAAAACGATGACGATGACGACGACTCCTATGAAGTGACTCTTGATGAAGACTTTCTCACGGCTCTAGAATACGGGATGCCCCCTGCTTCTGGAATGGTATCTTTACCAACTACTCTGCTTTTCTTATATCTCTAGGCTGTTAGCCGCCTTTCTTTATTGACCATTCTTCAATCTCTGACCACACTGACACAACACATTCCTTATGCTGAAGACGAACAATATCTCATCTCATCATATAATAACTAAATATACTGATGACGACATTGCCTATATGAACGTCATTTGCTGATGCTCGGTAGGACTGTTGATGTCAACTAGCTTATAATTATTTGTTAAAACCAAGATTGAAAAAATCGCTAGGCGCCTGGGGTCTGCCTAGAGCAATTAATCGGCGCCTAGGTGGCCGACCGCCTAGGCGCCGATTAGCCCGATTTTTGCAACACTGATTAAAACACCCGGCACAATCAATTTCACTTAGAGATTATTCTTATCTTAAACCCACTCACATTAGCTGATTTGAATCAGCGGCACTCTCCAGCCAGTACTAAACGGGGGTTGATTTTCAGGGACTTGGCATCGACAGGCTAGTAATGCTTTTAACGAACTCTGCCAGCATCCGCGATGTCATTGCTTTCCCAGTGCTCAAGGCTCAACCGAAACTTACCGAGTAGCAGCGGATAGGTAGGAATTCTGTTTCCATAAATTGGGTAGTGATGCAATCAATGCACATGGGTTCAACAAATTCTTCCATTTTTCTTCATGGGATCTTATGGGTTGTGTCACCCACCCATGTTCTATTCTTGCTGATTTTAAGTCAATTTTGGACAATGATCCCCGTCCCCACTATACTACCATTCTTGTCAAACGTTTTTGTTTTTTGAAGAGACAGCTTAAGTTGTTGGAAGACTTTGATGAAATACAGAGTAGATAAAGTGTGTTATTTTCTAATTAAACAAGTAGTATTTTTTATCATTTCATGGATGGAATACCGGCCTGTCAATGTATCTCTACTATATTATATATATCATTCAATATAGAGGGTATTTATGTCTTTTGCATGTTATTCTATTCATATTCTTTAAATTAATCTAACACCAGAATAACTTATACTAAGATTCTTATTGGGTAAAGCACAAATAAGCCACTGAACTATTTGGGAAACAGTAATTAATCCAATGAACTCAAATAACCTCCAAATAAGTCATTGAATCTGGAAAAGAGCAAATAAGCTATTGAATTCAAAAAAAAAAAATAATAATAATAATAATTAATATTTTTAACAGGTTAATATTTTATTTACGTTTCTTTTATTATATTCCACTACATAGTAATATATTTTAAAATAATTATAATTAAAATTGTTTTGTCTTATCGGGATTTGATTTTTTTTTTTTTTTGAATGCTACTAGCTCTATTACATTGTAGTATCTGTTCATATTATCGGGATTTGATTGATTGATTGATTTATTATTATTTCTGTTTAAAAAATAATACTTCGTAATAAATAAATAAATTAGATCTAGACAATACAAAACTATTTTTATTATAATTGCTTTAAAATATATTACTATGTAGGTGGATTAAAAAAAAAAAAGTAGATAAAATAAACATTTGGCAATCCAGTCAGCAAAAATCTATAGTTAACCTGCTAAAAATGTTAGTTGCTCTTTTTTTCTGGGTTCAATGGTTTATTTGGGAGTTATTTGAGTTTGGTGGTTTAATTGTTTTTCCCAAATAATTCAGTAGCTTATTTGTACTTTATTCTATTCTTATTCTTTTAAAATTTATTTCGAAAACTAAACATGCAGTTGATGAATTAATATAACTTTGCCTTTGCGAGTGGGGATTTAACCTTTTGGGAAGAATATAACTATGCCAGGACATTCTGTTAAAAAAATAAAAATTTCGGGATGTTTGGTAAAATAGTTGTTAGTTGATTGGGTTTGTGAGTTTGACTAGTTGATAACATTAATTGATTGTAAAAATATGTTTGGTAAATCAACTATTATTTGATAGCTGATTACATACAAATGATTTTCTCAAAAAGCTTATTGAAAAAGTTGTTTTGAGTAGTTTTTTGAATTTTAGTGTTTTGAAGCAATAACCTGTTAAAAAAAGTTAATTAATCAAAAACACTCATATTTGTTGTTTAACTAAGTCAAACAATTAATAATGGTCAAACAATTAACACTCATATTGATTGTTTAACTAAGTCAAACAACTAATAGTGATTAAACAAGTTAAAACTGACTGATAGACTAATTATTTTACCAAACAGATCAAAAATATGAAAGGGTTTAGGGTGTAAGAGAAAGTTATGAAAAATGAATTTCAATTTAAAAAAAAAAAAAAAAAAAGTATGGGATATGAAGAACATAATATGAAAAAGGAATTTAACTTTGCATGTCGGCAACGCAATCATATGCGTTTATTAAAAAAAGCACAAGTATATATGAACTTTATTGGCCAGCTTTCATCATTTGGTTGGTTTCATTATTTTGATACATACCTCATCCCATGCTCCTACACCCCCCCCCCGCCCCCCCCCCCCCCCCACACACACATAAGTAGTACCATCTTTATTATTAATATCAATATCTACATCTAGGGTGGGTTTAGGTTGGGCTATTTGCTAGTAAACACCTCTTTATTGCTTGTTTAAATTTAATTAAAAAAATTGATTAGTATAATGAATTTATGTAAATCAAGAATCCTCATCATCAAAAATTCTTATGTATGTGCTTTATCATCAATCACACGTGATTTAAATGATTAAAACAAATTTAGTTTAATTCTCTTAAAAATAAGGTTAGCAATAGGGGTTAAAAGGACACTTCAATAGGTGTGTGGAGGAGAACATTTTTGTTTTTTTTTTTTTCCATTTAAAAAAGAAAATAGGAAGGGCAATTTGGGAAGACATATTTTTTTTAATTATTTAATAAGACCAAAATACTTTTGTTATTTCCATTTTTAACAAGAACCACCAATATAGGATGTAAGTTGAACACTACTATAATATAGAATGTTTTAATTTATTTGTGAATGTTTTAATTAATTAATTTATTTATTTATACTCAAGTTTTAAATACAAATTCAAGTTGATTAACTTTTATATATATATATATATATATATATATATATATATTACAAATACAATTAAAAGAATATCATAAACGAAAGTCTAAAAGTCTGGACAAAACTGAATCGGACAATATCAACAATGTCCGCAAAAAACGAGTGGTTTCACCCCTTCAAGGGAATGATCAAAGATTTGGAGACCAACGATACAAAAATTATGACGAGTCATTACCTAATTTACACAAAATTTTGCTTAACTTTATAAATAATTTATACTTTTTTAGATCTATATTTGTAGATATATTCAAACCTACCTACCAAAACAAAGTTGTTGCATGTTCATCATAGCACCCACAGATGTGAGATAATAACAACTTGCAAACTTCTGATGGCTAATCATTCACAAAATCAATCAATGGTAGCTTAGGCTTCTAAGTTTCAATAAATTGCATTTTAGATAATAATAATAATAATAATAATAATAATAATAATAATAATAATAATAATAATAATAATAATAATAATAATAATAATAATAATAATAATAATAATAATAATAATAATAATAATAATATTCAATTAGATGGCAAACTATAAATTAAACTTATAAAATGTAAAATAGAATTAATATATTAAAAAAAAGAATAAAATAGAAATTTAGTTGGTCAAAAAAATTGAAATTGAATATATAGTGTAATCTCATAATGCAAAAAGATATATTCCACCTTAAAATTGATGTGCTACTAATAATTTAAATATATATGTTGTTTCATTTTGAATAATGCTATTTTTTCCTCCCAATGTTTATCTCATGAAATGACAATAAAACTATTTATATCTATAGGTTATTGGTGAATTGGCTGACCCAACTTACAATTAAAAAGAAATCTACTTATTAATAAATATAAATAAGACCAATTACATATTGTCATGTAAGGTGTGAAATCCATGAGGGAAATATAATGCAATTTATATTATGGATCAGGGTTCGCATAGCATTATAGATTCTAAATTAAAATAATAAGGTACAAAATTTCATAACACATGACACAAAAATCATAATACAAGACACATATCATAGCATCATGGGCCCAACTAGATTGGAAAGACGAGGTACGGAATTCGTACTCGTAATGTACAGAATTTTATAACACAAGACACAAAAAATTATAACACAACACACATACACATGTTATATATTTACTTATTTTTCAAATCTGATTTAGGTACATAATTTGGGTTCATAGGTACAAATTTTCACAATACAAGACACATAAATTTGTAACATAAGACAAAATTACATACTCTTAAAATACAGAATTTCATAACGCAATACACAAAAAAATTACAACACAAAATACATACACATGAATCAAGGTCCATAGTGCAAGTGAACCCTGGTCTATGCTGAGGATTGAGAAATATAACATCAATTTTTTTTTTTTAATATTACTATCTTGATGACTAAATCTTCATAAGAATTTGCTGAAGTTTCCCACCCCACCTTTCCTTCTTGCAACATATAATTATACTAGTCTTTTACGCGCATTGCGCGATTAAGATAATGCCCAATATTTTTTTTAAAGAGTTAATACCTAAAATCGTCCTCGACTATAGTGGTTTTTCTTAATTTCGTCCTAAACGACTTTGGTGACCTAATATCGTCCCAGACTTTTGTGTTTTGCTCAATTTAGTCCTCCATTTGTTATTCTGTCAAATTAGTGTTAAATAAAGGGACAATTCAGTAATGTCAATATTGATCTCTCTTTACTTTCAACTTGTGAAGTGCGAAATTCCTCTTTCTTGTACGAATTACACCCAGAATTACTCCCGGACCTGCAAATCAAATTTTATATTCGCAGTTTTAGGAGTAATTCTGGGAGTAATTCGTAAAAAAAAAAAAAGATTTCGCAGTTCACATGTCTATGAGTAAAGAGATGTCAATATTAAAATTACTGAATTGTCTATTTATTTAACACCAAATGGACAGAATAACAAATGAGGGACTAAATTGAGCAAAAACACAAAAGTTTGGGACTAAATTGAGCGAAACACAAAAGTCTGGGACGATATTAGGTCACCAAAGTCGTTTAGGACGAAATTGAGAAAAACCACTATAGTCGAGGACGATTTTAGGTATTAACTCTTTTCTTAAATAAGTATTTTAAAGTATATCAAGGTAAGATTATATTGGAATTGTTCATGCATAAATAATTGAATGTTGAATTTGTGTATTTATTCTATGTTTACAAATGCAAGATAATATAGTCAAGATTGATTATAATTGTCAATAAAATAATTGTATGGATATGGTTGAAACCAAATATGGGACATAAGGGGGAAAATAAAAGTTAAAGCATAAAATATTAAATATATACTAATATTATTTGAGGAGATTCCGGTTGTAGGATTTGTGGTTAGAGTTCTATTAAGACTTTAATATTAGAATTAGATTAATGTTGTAGTTATAATTCTATATTAGACTTTAATATTAGAATTAGACTAACGGTGAATTAACGGTACTTAATGAAAAAATTAACGGATCGGATAATCATATAATTAAGGATAAATTAGGAAATCTCAAGGAAAAATTAAAATATGAACAATCTGAACTATTTATTTGATTTAATAATTTGACGGTCATTTTTTCTACTCAATATTTATAATTAAATAAATATTTCAAAGTATATCAATGCAAGATTATATATGAGAAGTTCAACATAAGTAATTTAATGTCTAATTTGTTTATTTAAATATGTAATTCATAGTATATGAATACAATGTAATTAGGAGATTCATTACAATTGTTACTAAACTTTTTTAAAATAGTAACCAAGTATTTTTGTTGCAAAGGGTTCTAATATATTTAATGAATGCACATATATACAAGATCAATGAATGAATCAACGGTACTCGTCCTTTAAGTGTTTTGCTCAGTGTTAATTTAGTTCAACCATTATTGTTGAATAAATTATTATGGATAAAGAAATTCCTAATTTAAGGAATTTATATGTAGTAAAAATTTAAAAAATTTTAATTATAATGTAACTCAAATATATTGGACGATTGGAAAATATGATGTAACCCAAAGATCAAAATGTTAAAGAAAGTATTTTGGTTATTCAACAGTTTGAAGCAACAATTTGTTCCAAACCACTGAAAATACAAACATTACAATTTACAATATTTTCACTTAGTGTTTTTTAGAATGATTTCCTCAAAAAACACGTCTATATATTTTAAAAAAAATATTATTAAAACAATTATTATTATTATTATTATTATTATTATTATTATTGTTGTTATTATTATTATTATTATTATTATTATTATTATTATTATTATATGTATACCCTTAGGTCATTTTAAATGTTAATTTAAATAATTAATTTTTTCAAATATCTTTTTACCAACCGTTGATATAATTCGCTGGTCAAATCCGTTAATATAATCCGCTAACGCTAACCGCTAACTGTTGATTGTCAAACAAGGACATTGCGAGGTAGTTTCTCACTTCAATTTGTTGTGTGATTTGAATACTCTTTTTGTCAACAAATCTCTCAAGTAGTTAATATGATTGACTTTATTAATTTAAAATTTTTAAATTTTTTCATGGTATTAATAAAATACTTGGTAAATAAATATATAGCATTTTTTTGTACTTTGATATTTAATTAAAAAAATAGTGCACAAAAAAAATAATAGACAATGTAGTGAATATAATCAATTGATAAATTTGAATGTAAGAATTTTTACATTGGAGAAAAATAAAGACAATATAACTAATGAAATTATTTCTCTTAATTAATTTATTGATAATGAATAATTTTTTTAATAAAGACATTGTAGGGACAATGTAACGAATATAATCAATTGATGAATTTGAATTTTCAATATAAAGAATTTTTATATTGGAGAAAAATAAAGACAATATAACTAATGAAATTATTTCTCTTATTTAATTTATTGATAATGAATAATTTTTTTTTTTTGAATAAAGGCATTGTAGCCACATAATTCTAAATTAAAGAAATGCATATGTTTTATTTTTTTGTTGTAGCTACTAAATTGTTAATTTTTATTAATAATTTAATAAGAGTAAAATAGAGTACTAATTATGCTAACTTTGATTGGGATGAGGTTCGAACCTAAGACCTTTCTTATTGAAATCAATGAGTAAGTAATGGTGAACTAACATAAATTAAAGGAAAAGATAATATTTAACGGAAAATTTAATGGATAATCATATTCATTAAGGATAAATTCGGAAATCTCAAGGAAAAATTAAAATCTGATCAATCTGAGTCATTCATTTGATTAAAAATTTTAACCGTCATTTTTTCTACCCATTATAAGCCTAACTCTCTTGGGCTCTTATTAGTATATATATATATATATATATATATATATATATATATATATATATATATATATAGTAGATATTTCAAAGGAAAATATTTCTTGGTCAAAAAAAAAAAAGAAGAGGAAAATATTTCTTACTCTTTCCATTATCATCCCATATTTGTCACTCCAAGATTAAAAAAAATTATTTATTTTTATGAATTATTGAAGAATTAGTTGATTTTATTCCGAGCTAATAAAAAATTTAGGATTCAATAAAAAGATAACGGCCCTGTTTGATAAAAAAAAATGACCTATAGGTCAATTTTGGCTTATTTGGTCATTATTAATTGTTTGATTTAGTTAAAATATCAATATAAGTGTTTGATTAATTAGCTTTTTGCAATTTCAAAATGCTAAAATTCAAAAAACTACTCCAAGCAATTCTTTTAGTTAGCTTTTTCAAAAAAGAAAGTATACCAAACAGCTATCAGCTAACAGCTAATTTACCAAACATTTTTCTACAACAGCTAATGTTATCAACTAGTTATACCATCTAATTAACACAGTTAGCTAACAGCTAACCGCCATTTACCAACAGGTCCAACATGTTAATAAATAACAATTGCATGAGTCTCATGATACTATTTTTAATGCACTATGCAACATACAATGATACATGCCTACACGTTTGATATTGGTTGTTGCACACTTCTCATGATAAAAGAATTGTGTTACTTGGTCCCCCACCCCCACTCCCACCAAAGAAAAAAAAAAAAAAAAAAAAAAACTTTCAATTTCCAAAAAATGGTGCACACACATCATTTTGTTGTATTTAAAAATATTTATTATTGAACATATAATTTTATTATAATCACTATATCAAAAAAAAATGTATAAATTTATAGAGATGTAATCAAATAAATAATGAATACAGAAAATTTTACTTTCTCATCAGAAATGAAAACCTTTTTAAAAAGAAAGAGAAGAATTGAATCATGTGATTTTTATGCGATGTTAGCATATATGGCTCCAACAATTATATTTTACGTTTATCTAATTACTTTTTCATCAGTCAAGAATTTTCAAAAAGTTCATTCTAAAGAATCAAATTCTAAGCTTACAAATCAACACTTATTTATTAATGAGTGAATGACTCAAGTTTACAATCCAAGAGAATCTATTCCTCTCTATTTCACTGCCTAGCTGGAGTTTTTACAAAACATTTCCTTCTCTTTTGGCAAAGATTCCTCAACCTTCCTTATCTTATTTTCTCCTTTTAAATTTATTTAATGTGATAATAAAATTTTATATTCATTAATTGTTTATAAATTGATGGACCGTAGGTTTTAAAAAAATTATTTAATAAAATATCAAATATAAAAGGACATTTTTTCCCCTCCAAACTCTTCCATTCATGGGTGCCTGTAAATAGAATGACCAATCACTAATTAAAAATTGAATTTAAGAGTTAATTCCAATTTTTTGTCCTAGATTTATAGGTTACAGTCCACTTTTAGTTCTAAATTTATCAAAATATGTACTTTTGGTCCTAGTATTATTGAAACATGATCAATTTTGGTCCTCTATCAACAAAATCGTTGGAATTTCGTTAAATTGAAGGACATTTTGATCTTGTTAATACAAAGTGCATCGACCCATTATATTTGTATGTTTATTTTTCTGAAAAAATTCATAATTGAAGATCAAAATGTCCTTCAATTTAACACAATTTCAAAGATTTTGTTGAAAGATGATAAAATTGGTCATGTCACAATAATACTAGGACCAAAAGTGAATATTTTGATAAATCTAGGACTAAAAGTGGACTATCACCTATAAATCTAAGACCAAAAATGGAATTAACTCTTGAATTTAATTATCAATTAGATAATGTCACATCAGGATGGGAAGTTTATAAGATCATTTTCAATAGTTGTATATTTTGAGTTTTTACAGGTGTGACTATAAAAGATAAGATGTGTGGAAGAGAATAAGAAAAGAAAAGAAAAGAAAAAAAAAAAAGCAAAACAAATCTGAAAAAAAAAAAAAAACAAAAAACAAAAATTAATAAAGACTTCATTAACGCGCCGGCTAGGCCTGGGCGTTGTGGTTCACTTCACGCGAACCAGGCAAGACTTTCGTTTTTCCTTGGTGGGTCCCACAATTTTAATAAAAACGAATGCATTACACTGAGATCTATTTTATTCTCTCTCATCTCCTCTCTCCTCCACATAAATTTTGTTTCCTCAAAAATCACACCAAAAATCATAATTGGGAATGCCCTTAATATAAGGGATATGTAGCATTGCTCAATGAAAAACACCAATCAAGAAATGCCACATCAGAAAATAAATATTATGAAGTAAATGTTGGTATGAATCAAAATATTTTCATCAAATTTATTTTATTATCTAACATTATCTTACACAATAATTCGTGATAAAAAATAATAAATTTACATAGCTAATTAATACTCCGTATAAAATAAATTATGATACATATCACATCCGACACATCATAGATAAAATATTTGATGACAAAATTAATCTGAAAAAACATTTTCCAATTCCCAATTTGGTCATGAAGTTTAGAATGGAATTTGGAGAGGAAATGAATCATTAATGTAGTGAAAGGGGATAGAGTGGTCATTACAGGTTGACAAGAATCACCTTTTTCATCTTCAATCCCAGAATATGCCACCACGGATATGTCTGTTACTGGATAATAATCTAATTGGGCTTCATTTAATTTGACAGCTGCCACAATTCTACCTGAACTGGGAATCATATTCAGAACCCTTGCGAAAAACAATATCTTTTTTTCCTCTCTGCTTTAATTACATTTGGATTGAGTATAAAAGCAGCAAAAAGTTATTCTTTTTTTTTTAATTTTTTCTTGGGAGAAGTGACATGAATTTCTGGACCTTGGGTCAGTGGTGTGATGAACTGCAGAGAATTGTGTTCTGATTCCTTCAAAGAGTGTAGTTTTCTTGGAATTACCCATATTAGAGAATTGGGTTTTTTTTCTTTTTGTTTTTCCAAGAGATTTTGTTGTTCTTGATTTGTGTTGTTGTGTTAAGATGAGGGTTGTTTCTTGATGAAGCAAAGCAAGGTGAGAAGGGTGTTATCCAGCAAGATTCATTGCCCATTTATCTGTTTCTGCAAACCCTCTGCTGCTGCTGCTCATCACCACCTTTACACCACCCACCCCCATTTGAAGGTGAAAAATACCCATACTGTCCCTGCTTCTGCTGCTATCAGAGATGGGTCTGGGCAGTTGTGTGGAGAGGGCAAAGATGTCAAAGAAGTGAGGGTAGATGGGAGGCAAGAAGGTGAGAGTGGTGGCATTAGGAGCTGCATTAGAAAATCACCCCCAGAGGAGATTGAAAGGAAGAGGGTACAATGGGTGGATGATCTAGGTCAAGAACTTGCTGAGATCAAGGAGTTTGAATCAAGGTACCCTCTCTCTCTCTCTCTTTTTTACACAAGTACACATGTTATAGGGGTAACCCAGCCAAGATGGCAAGAGATTCACACTTGTAAACACAAGGTCACGTGTTCAAATCTTTGCCCCTTTGATTTGAGCCGGTCAGCTACGGGTCACCTAGACTGGTTTACTTCCTTGTGGTCCTCTACAGGCCTCTGCCGGCTAGGGTCAATTATGGGTCACCTAGACTGGTTTACTTCCTTGTAGTCCTCTGCAAGCCTCTGCCAGCTAGGGTCAACTGGTCACAAGGCGGGGGTATACCTAGACCGAAAGAGTTGTGGGGTTTCCCTCGTCATTCAAAAAGTACACATGCTATGAGGAAAATGTTAGGAATCTTTCTGGTAAATTATGTGTGTTTTCATTGTAGAAGCTTAGCTTGTTGCAGCAGGAAAGGTTTTGCCAAATTTGAAGTAGTCATAGAATGCATTTATATGCAAAAAAAAATACTTTTGTGGTTGGAAAAAGTTTGGGTTTTTGTGCATTAGACCATTCCTGGCTTTCCTGCTGATTTGATGTTTGCATAGGAAGATTAAGTATGATGTGTATTACACCATAAACAGGTGAAAACCTGGTTTTCTGATTCTTATTCCCTGCTAACTTATTTCATTAGTGCCCATGGTGAAAAGATGAAGGAATGATGTTCACAATTACTATGAATTGGACAACACCAAACAGAGATTTCATGTATTCAGAGTCAAAACATTTACTATAGTAATTTTTGCATAAAAATGCATTCTAATATTCTAGGACTACTTCAAATTACATCTTAGAGGATGGTGGTCGAAATCTCGAACGTTAAGCTACTTAAATAGGATCCCTTGTGTAGAGTCAACGACAGAGACTAGCTGAGAGGCTGGTTGGGAGACTCACAATTTACCTTCTTCAACAACTCTCGGGTAGGGGTTTTGGGGGCCTAGGATTAGTCTAGCATAAGCTGAAAAACCTAATGTATATCAGACAAATATCGTTGGATTAATTGTGAGAACTATGGGAGTAAGGAAGTAACTTGTAGGGACCTAAATTTATATTACTATGAAATATATGTATGAAGAAACATGAAAAGTTTGTTGCAACTATGTTGTGTCTCCTCCTATGAAGAATCACAACACTGATGCATAAACTGTAACATAAGGACTTCCCTTTTCTGCTTCTTTCTCCTTGTCTTTTTGGGTAGAATTGCTTCTAGATGCATTATTATTTTGTCATTTCGAGACTGACTCTATTGCGCCTCGATCTTTATTTTCGTGTAGTGAAACAGGTGAGACCGAAAACGAAGAGGAAAACAGAAGAAGCTGTCATCTTTGCTTCATTCTTTGATGATGCTAAACATTAACAAGATCCTTCTGGCTTTAGCACCCTCGATTGGCTTTAGCACTGCCCTGAATAATGAAATGTTCTTGACAGCAAATGGTTGAGGAGCCGGAGAGGGTGGTCGAGAGCAGCCATACCGGTGGGTGGGTGGGTAGATTTCTTCGTTTTTCGCTTCAATCTCCATGTTGGCTGCCTGATTCACATCAGGAATCTGATCCCTGGCTTTACTGGTAATATAATTGTAGATAAATTATTCTCAACTTCAATTCAGAGCCATAATCCTCATGCTTTTTAGCTGCCTGCATTTTTCCCAATTTCTGCAACTTTCTTGCTCAATGTAAATTAGGTGATTAGTTAACAGCATGAAGCAATCTTTGGGTGTAACTGGACTTCATTGTTTCACTCAAAATAAAATGTCTCCTCATCTCTTCATTAATTGCATCTATCTGCTCTATCCTTATCCTTTGTGTTTTCTTGTTATGGCATGTACAATTCATTCACATATATATGTTTAAATACCAAAAGAGTTTTTGTAGGCTCACTAGTACAGAAACAGTCATTCGCGTCCAAAGTAAAGCACAATTCGCGTCTAAAGTAGCTGGGACGCAGATGTCGGGAACGCTGATTGTATATACAATCAGCGTCCAAAGCTACTTTGGACGCAAAAAACGATTAATCGCGTCGAAAGTTGAAGAACTTTGGACGCGATTAATCTCATTACAGTGTTGACCACTGACTTTGCGCGTCCAAAGTTGGTCAACTTTGGACGCGCAAAGTCAGTAGAGCGCTCTCTCTTCCTCAGACGGTTTATTATAACTTGCGTAATTATTACGTTAACTATTTGCATCCATGAAATCTTTCCTCACTTTCAAAATGTCATATGACTAAATTTGCAATTAATCAATATTCACTTTCAATATCCATGTAATTCTCTCTCTTCTTTTAAAAATCGTCTTTCACATCACCTTATAAAATTATATTTTTATTAATAATAATAATAGTTTTTTAAAAAAATAAAAAAAGTACAATTTTAATTCTGACAGTAGAATTGCAAATTCTGCTTGTCACATTGCAAGAGGTGGCATTTTATATTAATAATAATAAATAAAAAAATGGCCTCCACGGTAGATTAGATTGCAATGGCCAAACTTTCAAGGTTACAGATAGTGTTATTATGTCAACTATTTCCATCATATCACTATCAAGAAAACTTCTACTAACACCTTACACCTTTACCCCCTTACTATTTTTACCACATTTTTTTTTCTCAATTTAGTTAATATAACCAAAAAATTTCTTTCAAATTTGAAAAATAAGTATTATAAAATACATATAGGTGTGCATATAATCATTTGAAAAATGCTACTCCTTACTATACTTCACAAAGATTACTAAGGGTGTGCTTGGTTCATGAATTTACACATTAGGAATGAGAATCAAAATCATAGTTAATTAGTGTTTAGTTAATTTTATAAAACGCAACTATGAGATTTGATTACCCCTTCAATTAAAACTCAATTCCTTAATTAAAAAAAAATGTATCATTCAATCTTATTGGTAATATAATTTTTAAATTTGGACTACCTTTTTTAGATTTTTGTTCTAATTTTTTTTTTCATATTGGTGCTTTGGATGTCATTATATTAGGATCAATTGCATTGATTGATTTTTTTTTTTGATGTATTTTTAAAACATTTATTCTCATTATAGAATCATACATAACCAAACAATTGATAATCATTTTAATTCCACCCTACTGCCAAACATGCAAAATACTTTCACCAAAACACATATCATTATCAAGTATTTAATTCTCATTCCGATTCTAATTCTCACGTGCAAGTCAAACACACCCTAAATAATATTCATTACCAATTATATTAGTGAGTTGATCCAATTTAACTCATTAGGAATTAATAAAATAATCAAATACAAAAAATATCTTATAAGCTTGCACAAACAGCGCGCTCAAATTGGTTTTCACATGATACCGTGGTCACTAGGCACTAGTCGACTATTGAGTTACAATAATTTACCCATCCACTATCTTATTGGGGTGAGAAAATTTCTCCTTTTGTAAGAAAAAAAAAAAAAAAGAATTAAATAAGCCCTTAAACTATTCATTCTTTCCAAAAGGTTGAATCCCAACTCTAAGAGCTCGCATACCTCGGCCTGACAAAGCATCTAGGAGGATGTAAATCATAGTAACGCAACTAAACATAAACCACAGAGGCTAGACCTTTGCTTACTGCGCATGAGGAGCCCCTCACAGAGGTTGCTCTCACACTGCCGCTGGTGAGACTCGTTCCATGGTCATTCTTTCCAATTTTCACCACTATGACCAGTTGAGCTGTCCATGCGAGCCCCTTGAACTATTCATGAAAATGCAGGCACTTGAACTTGGAAGTTATTATGTGAATTGAGCATCTAAGTCGTCAAAATATATTGACGTGACATTCTAATTTCTTTAACTTGGAAGTTATCTGTAATAACATGTCAAATAAAGTTAATTATATTTAAAAATAATAATAATCTCTAATTAGAGTGTTTTTTCAATTTGAATCTTTAATTACACTTTTATAAATAGTTTAAGGGCTCACTCAACCTTATAAAAAAAATGATAAAACACAATTTGAAACTCCCCCGTTTTGTAAGGAGCGGCCCTGTAACTGTTTGAATGTCTGTTTGGCTAACGTGAAGCTCCGAACTTCTCTCTAATCAGAAGTGGAGAATCTCTGATTGCAGGTATAAAAGAGGTATGCATGCATACATGAATCTTTAATTTCCGTTTCAGGAAATTCTACATATAATAATTGTGCAAATCTATCATCTATACATACACACAAACGCACAATCTGACCTGCAGACATAATCTCAGGAAGGAATTGAATTGAATCATTAACGATCGAGCTGAGCATCGATCCATCTAGCTAAGCTATCTGGAATTGAAGATCAGAATTGAAAAATAAGATGGAGATGCTGCGGTCATGGTGGATCTGGAAATGTTATTTGATTGTGTTGATGTTGTTGAGAGGCGGAACGGGCGTGGAGAGCTTCGTAGGGGTGAACTGGGGCAGACACTCGACGCATACATTGGTGGCGTCGTCGGTGGTGGATTTGCTGCTTCAGAACGGGATCTCCGACGTCAGAATGTTTGCGCCGCGGCCTAACGCTCTGGTGGCCCTTGAACACTCCTCCATCGGCGTCACCGTCACCTTGTCCAGAGACTTCCTTCTCAGAGACAAATTTATTTCCAATCTCCAGAACGTCAGCGAGTGGGTATCTAATCTTATTGTGCCGCCCATTCAAAGAAATGTCAACATTACGTAAGTCCGTCCATACCATACCATACGCTTTTCAATCAATTTTTTTTTTTGTACTACTGACTCTTTACAATACAGTATCTGTTCATAAAAAGTTAATATCCCCTAGCATAAGGGTCACCTCAGCTCAAACTAATTGAGTTAGATTCAAACTAATTCTTGTACGCACACGGGTCTAATTAAGGGAACCAAAGTGATAACTATATTGATTTAAAAAAAAAAATTAGGTGATCCCAATTTTGTTGGACTAATCATAAATTTAGAGGACTCCGTCCCTAGAGCCTCTACAGAAGTAAATCACGAGTTGTGTAATTAGTTTACCGGTCAGATTTTAGTCTTTGTGTGGGCACAAGGGATTCAATGCACACTTAAGCATTTTGTAGTATATGCTTCTGTCTTTTCTCATACATGCATTCAGTGGGATTCAGGGTTTTTGACTGAACACTTTTCAAAGTTATACAAAATAGGGAAAAATTCATTGAGATTTGGAGATTTTGACTTGAATACTTTTCAAAGTTATACAAAATAGGAAAAAACTCATTTGCTACTTAGTTTCGCAAATAAGTTTTTTAAAATATGAGAAATGCATGTGGGAAACTCAAGTCCCAAATAAGATTTTGCTCTATTTTGTACAACTTTAAAAATGTGTCATATTCTTGTCTCTATTTTGTACAACTTTGAAAAGTGTATATTCTTGTTTCTTCTTCCACAGAATTGCACATTTCAATCATTCTCGTACCACACAACTTCACATTGTCACCCCCGAACTCTCAATATCTCTTATGAAAATATGAGAGTGCACTGTCACTCACACTAACCAAGAAAAGCTGATTGTGCATGCATGTTATATATATATATATATATATATATATATATATATATATATATTATAACTACGGAGAATTATTGATTGTTGTGTTTGAATTATTATATTATATTATATTGTAGGACTGTGATCGTAATGCATCAACCGTTCTTGAGTGCAACAACCAAAGCTCCTATTGTATGGAATCTGACGGAAGTGTTCAAAGAAACTCGGTGGGCCTTAGACAGCCACAACCTCACCCACGTCAGGACCACCACGTCCCACTATACCGACGCCATAAAAGTCGCGAAAACGCCGTCGGAGGCGGAATTCCGCGACGACATCAAGGACATGATGGCGAAGCACTTGGAAGTAATCGCCAAAACCAATTCCTTCTTCACCCTCGACATCCTCCCCATCACCGCCATCGAGACCTACAAATGGCCGGTGGAGTTCGGTTTCATGGACAACAAATCCAACTTCACCGTCGTGGACGGCAAGTATAGATACACCAACGCGTTCGAGTTCCTGTACGACTCGGCGGTGGTGGCGCTGGCCAAGGCGGGGTACCCGGACATGGAGGTGGTGTTGGGGCAGATCGGGTGGCCCACCGACGGCACCAAGGACGCCACGCCGGAAAATGCCGCGAGATTCTACAGGGGCTTTATTCCCCATATGGTGAACAAGAAAGGGACTCCCCGCCGCCGCAATAAAAACATCGACGCCTACCTTTACACCATCAGCGACGAGAATAAAATGAGTTTCCCGGCGTACGGGCCCTACATCCGTCACTACGGGATCTACGAGTACGACGGGACCCCGAAATTCGAGATCGACTTCTCGGGGAAAGGCCGGAAAGTCCTCCCCCCGGCGGCGAAAGGGACGGTGAAACTCCCGCTCCGGTGGTGCGTTTTTAACGGCAACGTTACCAACGAGAAGCACGTGGAGCTTCATATGCAGGCGGCGTGCAACTTCTCGGACTGCACGTCCCTACAGCCCGGCGGGTCGTGTAGCAATCTCAACTTCACTTCTCGGGTCTCTTACGCCTTCAATGCCTTCTATCAACTGGGGACGCAGGACGCGCTGCCTTGCGGCGGGTATAGTGGGCTGGGTGTGATCACCATGGCTGATCCCTCCGAAGGCGATTGTAAATTCCCGGTGGAGATTTTGACGGCGGAGACGGTGGATGACGGCCGCCAAGTGTTTTACACTGTAACTTACGATAGCAGTAGTGCCGCCCCATTCAACCTCTCTTTGTCACTCTCTGTTGCTCTCCTGCTCTTTGTAATCGTCCTGCTTGCTTTCAACAGATGATAGATGATAGATGATGATGATGATGATGGAATTTCTCCACTGTACTTTTGTTCTATTATTAATTTCCCTACATACATATATTTTTTAGACAATCATGTTGACATGGATATAAGATTCAAAATAGGTAAGCCATACTTCCCAGAGGCAATTTATATAGTAGACCAGCGTGTACATATCATTATATATGAATTCTGGATTGAAACTGACATTGTTTTGATATTCAAGTTTTAACGGATTCGTAATTTTCTGTTTCTCATGTTTCAACTATCAACACAAATATTAATCTATTCCAGGTACAATAAAATACAGAATTATAATACAAGATACAAAAATTCACAACACAAGACATATACAAATGTTATATATTTACTCATTTTCAAATCTAATTTAGGTAGTTAAGGATTATCCCCAATTATACCGTAACGTACACTTGGTTTGTATCAGATTCATTACTTGAGTAGATCCCGATATGACCTAATACGCGCGCCTTCCTGAGCTAAATCTAGACCGAGCCCAACATTAGACATTCGGACCTAAGGGTTGTATTAGTCACTCTTCCCCGAGCTAATCAGCTCGATACCGAGCTATTGACCTAATTCCCTTAGTTGAGCAGGGCAGCATATCCAATAAGCTTAGGAATCTAAGGACACGTAGGCGAGACCCTTTGGGCTCTGATCTGGACCGATGTCATGTGCCAAGCATGTCGAGAGACCGGTACATGTTCCCACCCACTCCTATAAATACCGCATTAATTGCAATGGATCAGAGAGGGACTTTTGGCTATTTCTGTAAGCTAATTACTAGCTCGGGAACATCTGACACACTGTCACATCTCTCGAGCTTCCTAATTTAAACCAACAAGCAGATCACATAAGGGCTGAAACCCGGTCCGATCTAATACCTCGTACGTATACGTAGTAAGCCCCGACCCGTATATTTACTACATCTGGTAAAGAATTTATGTTCTATTGGCACTAAATTTCATAATACAAGACATCAATTCATAACATAAGACAAATAATATGTTGTGTGTTACACAACTACTAATCTATTTTAGGTACAAAATTCATACTCTTAGGACCGTTTGGTTAATGGAATGTTATATTACCTAAGAGAATGTTAGATTGTTAAGAATGTTTTGATTCCTGTGTTTGGATAAAATAGGGATATATATATATATATATATATATATATATATATATATATATATATATCCCTAACATATTTTTGTGTATTTCAATAAATTTTAAAATTAAAATAAATAAATAAGGCAATGGTAACATGTATAAGTACATAATTTAAAAATAATTAAATAAGACTTGAACTCGATAAACAACATTACTTTATAAGCTAACGTAATAAGAAATAAAATAAAATATATAATTATAAAAATAATTAAATATGATGCGTATAATAAGCTAACATAAAATATATATTTCATATTAATTAGAATTAAAATGGTAAAAATAGAAATTATGCATGAGAATTTGACAAAACCTAAGAGATGTATGGGATTCACATTTCCTTCAAAATTCAATGTGGAGGGAATGTTGCATTACTTAGGGGATGTTATATTCCCTTGGAAAAGCAAGATAACTTGAACCAAACATGAGAATGCGACATTTCAAATCTCATATTCCCTTGGTTATGTTATATAACTTGAACCAAGCGCCTTTAAGATACAAAATTTCATAACACAAGATACATACACACTTATATACGAAGTATTTACTTATTTTCAAATATGATTTAGGTGGAGAATTTATGTTTTATAGGCACAAATTTTACAACACAAGACAAAATTCATAACACAAGACAAAATTCATAACATAAGACACACAATATGTTGTGTTACACAACTACTAATTTGTTCCAGGTACAAAATTCATACTCTTAAGGTACATAAATTTATAACACAATACACAAAAACTCACAACACAATACACATATACATATAAAAAAAAGTTTGTAACATGAATTGAATGACAAATGATCGTCGTCAAAATTAAAATTCAAAATGAAGTCGTATATATAGGACCAGGGTCCATAGTGCACAATGGACCCTGGTCACGGTATAATGATTGCTTCTAAGAAAAGGGAAATAGAGAATAGTTGTTGATGGTGTTGGTTTTAGAGTTTTTGGACAGGGACGGAGCTAGAAAACTTGAGTTGGGGGGGCCTATGTAGTAGAGAAAATTTACAATGTTAGTCGACATTATAACTAATCGTACCATATTATTATATATATACCATACATTATTGTGATTATTATTGATAATGATTTTTAATTATACTATGTGTAATAAAGTATGAAATACATAATTATATGAGTACGATCGACACAGGTGTCGATCATTAATTTAGAAATTTTTCACATAACACAAAATATAATAATAACAATAACAACAACATTTATTTAAATATAGATTGTCACTTAACATCAAATAAAAAGTTTTGTCAGTTATTTTGTTACCAATTTTTTTTCATAATTAACTTATATTCATTTTACTGGTGAACTGAATATTTCAAAATTTAAAAGATAAGACAAAAATAAAGACGAATTAAATAATCAATATTAATTTTTGTCAATTTCAAAAGTAATCATTTAAACTAGCAAATGTACATCTTAAAAATGTAAATAAATAATTATTTTTTTTTTGAAAAAGTAAATAAATAATTAAAACACACAATAAATCACTAATTAACTAATCAACATATATAACTAATAAAACCAAAGCATATATCTCAAATTTGGAGATTTTTTTTAGATTAAAATGTATACTTGATGCCATTCGTTATTAAAATCTTGATAAAAGAAATAAGATAATAATGAAAAATGATCACTTTAATTATTTGATTTACTTCTTTTTATTTAATAAATTTGAACTTTAATATATATATATTTTGAGTTCATTTAATATAAACATAATAGATTTTTTAAAAAAAAATTAAAGGGGGGCCAAAAGTGTATTTTATTCTTACTATATCAATATATACATACATATTTACTAAAAAAATTTAAGGTGGGGTAGGGGTTGGGTGGGGTGGGAGGGGGGGGGTCAGGTCCCCCTACCCCCTTAGATACCTCCGTCCCTGTTTTTGGGTCCAGGGAGGTCCAACACAACCTTAGTTGGTGGATTCACCTTTCGAAAATAGAAGTAAGAAATGGGTAAATTGGTAGTTGTACTTGTATTCTTGGCCTGTTCTCGCCGTCCCCACTCAACTTTTGAGGAGATCCTTTTATAGGGATCCTCCTTGGGAGGTTAAAAACTTTTACATTTAAGGGCAATAATGGGGCCTTTATTAGTTCTAATGCCGTTGGGTTGTCGTTACTGGGTCTCCCAACGGCTTGCTCGACTGGGCCTTTTAATAGGCCTCTTAAATGCCAACAACTACTTTTAGGTCGACCTCCTACTCGCGCCGACTCCGTGCTCGCACCGACCTCTGACTCGAACCAACTCATCGTTTTGACCTGGGTTTATCTTTGGGCCTATCCCTCTCTGGGCTTGATCTTTTTCCCTTCTTGGGCCCTAAGCCCGTTAGGTCCACACCCCATCAGATGGGTTGATGAGCCCATTGGATTGGCAAGGTGTGGGCTTGACAATTTTATTGTGGACTATGGTTCATGTAGCAGCATGGATCATAAAGCAAAACGACGTCGTATCATCTTATTTACACTTCAGTTTCATTTAACAATATTGTTATGTCTTTTAGTTTCATTTTCCATGTACGCTAGTTTCATTATAGCAATACTAAAGTATCATTTTAATTTTACTAAAACTTCATTTGACAATATACATTATTGCATTTTTAGTTTCAATTTCCACACAACGCTAAAGTATAATTTTAATTACACTTCATGTTCATTTGACAATATATGTTATTGTATGAGTTCTGTTTTTTAGTTTCATTTTCCACACACACTAGTTTCATTATAGCAACACTAAAATATTATTTTAATTATACTACAAATTCATTTGACAAATATGTTAGTGCATGAGCTCTATTTTGTAGTTTCATTTTAACAATACTATAATTTCATTTGACAATTATATTGGACCATGATCCACAAACAATGTATGGACCATGATCCACTGTATAACAATTAGTCTTGGCTCAAGAAGGGTAAAGAAGGGGGGTGTTCTTGGGCTTGAAGGAAAAAAAAGCATGTTGGCCCAAAAGGAGGGAGTGAAAGAGACTTTGGGCTTAGAGGTTAAGGGGGATAGAAGAGCATACCAGCCCAATGGTGGGGGACACGGTGGCCGATGAGGGGGGGGGGGGGGGGGGGTCAAAATCGACCCTAGTCAGCGGAGGAAGTTCACTCGACTTTTCCAAGTCGAGGTGTGGCTAGTGAGGGCAAATGCCCCTACTGGCGGGATAGTGAAGTGAGCACAATGAAAGTGGGTAAGGATGTGAAGGAGGGGGTAAAGATGGAGCAGGTGAGACAGTGGAGGCATGGACATGAGGTTAGCCCAAATGAAACCCCTCGTATTTGATTCACCAAATTTTGTCACTTAGCCTAAAGCTAGCCAAGAGAGGTTTAGTAATAGCGACTTCGACATATACCCTAGAAAATTTTTCCCTTGAGATAAAACTTGTAGCTTAATCAAGTTTTATTGGTTTCCCAAAATTTTCCCAATTCTCATGAGAAAGTCATAATATTCAATGGGAAGGCAATGGAGCCAGACCCAAACTAACAATCATTCAGTTTTGTATCTTATGGGGTTGAAATCAGGTTCCTAGTCTTTCACGTCAAGGCAATAATCCAACACTATCTAGGGGCCTTTAAGCTTTGCAAATTCATAGTTCACCATTGACGCAAATCTCATGACATAATATTCATTTTTGATGGCCACTAACTCCACTGATGACTTAGGTCTCCATAATGTTTTTAGTCTGCGCATGAAATAGTTATATCCTACCATCATCCAAGAACCTTTATGGTCAAGGTTTGTCTCTAAGGTCTTCTCATTCTAGCTTTCTCCTCCTTTGTCAGCCTAATTAGCCGACATCTCTCATCATGTTCGTCTTCGTCCTCTAC